TAAAAAAACCCAACAAACATAAAAAGAAAAAAAAAAAGAAAAAAAGAAAAAAAGAAAAAAAGAAAAAAAAAAAAGAAAAAAAGGAAAATGAAGCTTAATTAAGTTTTTGTGCCTTTTTTTGGTTTCTTTATCCCAATTTAAGAGAAGGAAAAACAAAGTTCTCTTGGAAATGTTTGGTGCTTAGCCTCAAGTAGTTGAGAGCGATGGCTGGTCTCAAGCAATTTCCTAACGTTATTAAATCTCTGGTAATTTTCAGATAGTTTTACCTTTCACCCAGAAAGTCATCTCCATAACCATATAGAAGAGATCCATTTAATATTACAAATAAATAGATTTTCTACCCCATTGAGATTTAAATACAATTGATATTTTGCTTACTCTCTCCTCTCATCTAATCTACCCATCTCCATTTCTCCTTCTCATTATTTTTTTTTCCAAACTGGTAAGCTCTGAGGATATAATTTGTACAAACAATTCTGTGCTATTTAAAAAAAAAAAAGCTACATAATATATTGCATCGAATTAAAATTGCCAGCATGTAATGTCCTTAAAATTAGCATTGATTTGAAGTTGTTTTCAGACACTGTAGATCAAATTCCCATTCTTCCCAGCCTGTTGACATATATTACAATCATATTTTTCCATCCCGGGCTCCACGAGAAAAAAAGTAAATCAACACGAAACACTTAATTAGGCTGAAAAAAAAAATATTATCGTGTTAACAGAGTAACATCAGCGATAACTCACTTGCAGTTTGAAGCTATAACAAGGTCTGCCCCTTCCTTAATGTCATCCTCAGTGACAAGTGACAAGCCCTGCAATAAATCCGCTGGCACCGGGCGCGCTGCCCCGCTCCCAGCCCTCTCCCCAGTGATGCTCTGGGGGCTGTTTTCTTGCTTTTATTCTCCTGGTAGCCCCAATTCTCCACGTTTCTTCTCCTAAAAGACCTGATTTTCCATTTTTATTCTCCTGATAGCCCCCTGGGCAGATCTGAATCCCCCCGGTGCTCGCCACCCTTCGCAGTGGTCGGGAATTACGCACGACAAATTGGTGTAATTTTGTGCAATCCGGAGCAATGACGGATTTGTGTAATTTTGTGGAATTCGGAGCAACAAAGCAGGAGGTTTTGCCTCCCAAAATTCATGGCGTGGTGGAGGTGGGTTTGGGGCATGACCCTTGATGGAAACAGCCTTTCCTGCCCAGCTCTGGTTCAGCACCAGCCCTTTCGATGGCATTGCCTTCCCAATGCCTGGGACCTGCTGTGGAGGGCGCAGAATTGGGACATCTCCCTCTCCCCCCTGCACAACCCCCCAGGTCAGCCCCTGGTTCCTAATTCCTCTTGGCAGAAACCCAAGCACCACTGGTATTTTACTGCAGATGGGTCTGTTGGCCACCTCGTGGCCTTTTTCTCTGCGCTGACCATGCAGGGAGCCTACAGACCACCTACCTACACAAATGTCCCTAAGGGAAAGCTGATGGGTGGCGATCTGAAAGGGGTAAATCCTTCCCATCCTGTGTAAATCTGAGGCTCTAAGGTGGCCTACAGCAGCAGGATGCATCCTTGGGTGACGTGCAGAAAAAATAAAGATTTGATTGCATTTTTATCTTGAATAATGCACCCACCTGCACCCCAGGAGCATGTAGAGACACTCCACAAAACACAAACCATGCCCTCCTCAGCCCCATTTGTTCATCCCAATTGGGGTCATGTCTTTAATACATGAAAAAGTTGGAGAGCTGTGCTGGTGGAGGGGTCTGGTGGGGTTTCCTCCAGGCCACTTTGCCCAGGACGCTCCCTGGGAAGAGAAAACAAGCCAAAATGCAGGTTTGGGACCGATTCTTTGGGTCTACTACCCTGGGGCTGAACCCTCGAAGGGGGGCAGGTTGGGGCTGCAGAGCATCCCTGGGGGCTTGGAAAGTGCCCGACCCTGCTGGGAGCCTGTGGGAGCACATTTCCAAGCAGACAAACCCACAGAACTGTGGCTCCCTGAGCTTTGATTATGGATAAGAAAAAATCTCCCCTCAATTTAGTCATCCGGAAATCTAGTCCCAATATTTTTATTGGAAAACAGGTAACCACGTGTCTGTCAGGGCACGGAGAGGAACTCAGTGCTGATGTTAAATCACTCAAGTTGTGATATCGTCAACAATAATTTGAGTTTTAATTACAAAAAGCTTCAGATATACCCAGAACAGATGATCCTGGGGTTATCGAAGCTCTGTTCTTTCTCAACAAATCAGTGGAAAAGCGTGTTACGGGACAATGATCCCTTCTCCAGGTTGGCAATTTTACTGAATTGCCCAAATTCTGGGAAGCACCCACACAGTCAGGGCTAAGAGCTGATGCAGATTTAGGTGTTGTATGGTCTTGACCACGCCAATATCTGGTGGTATCAGACACCAGCCCCCAGGACCACGGTGCTGTCACCACCATGGAGTGGTTGTCCCAGCTGGGTGGCCATGGTGGGAGGAGGACAAGGAGTTTGTGTCCTCTATCCCAAATATTTATACCTTCAGCAGAGTGTGAGCACACCTGGCCATGCTGTGGGGTGGGCACACACCCCATACTGGGACACCAGAAGCCAACCAGGCTTCCCAAAAAAGACCACAGGCATCCCTTGAAGTCCAGGTCCCTTCACCGGAGAGCTCCTGCCCTTCGTGGCTAGGACCCTGTGCTGGGATGGTGGAAGAGCCAAGCCCCATGCTGGTTCAGCTCAGTTTATTGCTTACAGCCCTTAAGACTTCCATTTTCATCGACTTTTCTCCTTCCCCTCCCTCCTTCCCCTTCTCCCCCAGGCTCCAGGAGTCCCACTGGGCTCCTGTGGGTTCCTGCAAACAGGGCAGGCAGCCACTCCGCTCATTTCCACACATTTCCTAAATTACATCTTCCGGAGCAATTTCCCACTTGAATTTCTGATCCCATCTGAAGAGATGTGGGGCCTCTGAGGGCAGAGCTCCTGGGTGCCCTTGTTAAAAATACTCCCGTTAGCATTCAGGGGAAGTTGCACTTCCAAACGTGTTTGTTTTGAAGCTCTAATTCTTACGCTTGGGTGGCAATGCCAATGAAAACAGCACAAATTAGTCTCTCGGCGGTAGCAGCTCCTGGGGGCTTTATTGATGTTTTCCATCATAATTAATACCCAGGGCTGGTGTAATCAGGGCTTGCGTGACCCGCGCTGGGGTGCTGTGAAGCCTCAGGGTGCCCAAGCCTCAGATTGCATGGGGACTGGTGAGCCACAGGGTGCCTGGGGATGCTCTGGGGGTCACAAGGGGCTTAAATGCTGAAATTTGGAGGTTTTGCAGCCCTGCCGTGCTAAGAAGCTCAAGGCAACTTGGTCTATGGAGCGAGGTTGTATTTTGGGCTACACTCCAAGGGCAGCATGGAGACACGATCTGCAGGAAGATGCTTTTCCATAGGTTGGTTATCACCCAAACCCACATAATGCACATTTTGGATGAATTTCACACCCAAAACAACCTATAGGTGTATAGAATCGTCATAGAGTCATAGAATGGTTTGGGTTGGAAGGGGCCTGAAAGATCATTTAAATCCAACCCCCTGCCATGGGCAATGATGCCACCCATTAGATCAGGTTGGCCAAAACCCCATCCAGCCTGATTTTGAACACCTCCAGGGATGGGGCACCCACAGCTCCTCTGGGCAACCTGTGCCAGTGCCTCACCACCCTCTGAGTGAAGAATTTCCTCCTAATGTCTAGTCTAAATCTATCTTTCAGTTTAAGACCATTTCCCCTTGTCCTATCGTTATCTACCCAAGTAAAGACCCACTCTTCATCTTTTTAGAAGCCCCCTTTAAGTACTGAAAGCCCTCAACGAGGTCTCCCTGGAGCCTTCTCCTCTCCAGGCTGAACACCCCCAGCTCCCTCAGCTCTCTCAGCCTTTCTCCATAGGAGAGGTGCTCCAGCCCCTTGACCATGAGGTTCACGTGGGCTCAATTCTCCAGCCAAAAGATGTTCTTTTTCCATGGTTTCTCCCCATTTCCTTTATACTCACCATTGAACACAAAAACTTCCAAATACATTTTTTTTTGTACATTTGTTTTGGATTATTTCTTTTTACACGGCACCCAGTGAAACCTCTCCATGCCCACCATGTTGCTCCGTGGAGAAAGCACCCAAGGGTGCCCACCCGCTCCTCCTTCCCCAGGGGACACCCAAAAGCCTCCAAAGAAACCAGAGCACTGTAAGCAAGAATGAACTCTTCTTGATGGTTTTAGGCCATTTTTCATAGTTTAATTTTCATAATTTTTACTTTGCCTTGGCAAATTATTCCTTCCAGGCTGGTGGGAGCAGGGACGCCCCATGCCCAGGGCTTGCTCCTGGTTCCTTCCACAGAAGGGGTCTCATCATGAACCAGATCCTCTGACCTCTGCTGTTGGAAAGGATGGGGCTTGGGGAATCTTTTAATGTAACATCAAGAAAAAATAGCAGCATCCTCCTGTAGCTGCTCTGGGAGTCGCTTGGTGACATCCTGCTGCACGGTGTCCATGCCAGGGGATTGCTGCTCTGCAAAACCACCCAGATCCCAATTTCTTGGGGTTTTTGAGCTTTGTGAGCTCGTCCTGTCTTTGTGCCACTTCTCAGCCCTCAGGTTTGTTGTTCCCGATGGTCAATTCATCTTTTCTCCCCCAGGAAGCTTCTGAGTTTCCCAGTGGGTGAGTGAATTTTGCAGGAAGGGTTTTCTGGTCAAGCCTGAATCTGTGACCAGGGTGTCTGTGGCACTTTGTTTTTGGGTGTATTTAGGTCTGCAATTAAAATGCAATCTTCCCTTCAGCCACAGGCCGGAGGGATGGAAATGCAGGGACACGGTTGTTGGTGACGCAGGTTTCTCATTCATAGCCTTTGTTATGGTTCTAGGAGTCACTTTTTGGGTGAAAATTATAGCATTAATTTTAAATTAAATAAATAAATTAAAATAAATAAATAAATAAATAAATAAATAAATAAATAAAAATAAATTAATTAAAATTAGCATTTATCAAATTAATTGCCAAGGCAGGAGGATGAAGGTGAATTTAAAACAAGATCTAGGAAAAGCGCCGGAGTCCTCAGCATGCGAACATCAGATTTGCTGACCTGTGGCTCATTTTAAACCAACTTTTTTAATTTTTCAGATGTTAAGGAACATCTGTCTTTTAATATCCCCCAAATCCAAAAAATATATATATATTTGTATATATAAGAAAGCTAGCATGGGTTACAATAAATTCTCCTATAAACCAGGGGTGGAAATCAGAAGGAAGAGAGCCAGGCATTGCCCTTGAGTCCCACATAGTCTGCAAAAACCCCAATCCTGCATCCCCATGCAACGGAGCAGCCCTTGCACGTCGGTGTTGGTGGACAGCCAAACCATTGAAAATCATCCCCAAATGGCCCCATTTTGCACCGAGCACGGGGAAACTGAGACCCTTGTTGGCCCAGCACCTTGCTGGGCTCTGCAGGACTTCATAAAGGAGCCACCAGACCCAGAGAGGAATATCGTGGATGGGCTGGGACCTGGGGGAACTCAGGGAAAGGACAATGAGGTTGGGCTTTTATGGGGTTTGGGGCTCTGGCAGCTGCTGTCTGGGGGCTGTCTGGGGGTTTTCAGGGTGAATCTGCTCATATCTCACACTGGAAATTATAAAAAGGGAAGATTTACCAAAATTCATCCTTGCCGTGGGCTGTGCCAAATCTGGACAGGGCCCCCCAGCACCTGTGCCCCTGGGAGGATGGAGGGATGAGAGCAGGGGGTGGAAACGTAAAATGGGAAGTTTCTGTTCAAACAACCATAATTTGGGCATTAATGGCTAAATGGAAATTAATGGGATGGGATGGGAATGGGGATGGGGATGGGATGGGATGGGGATGGGGATGGGGATGGGAATGGGATGGGAATGGGATGGGGATGGGGATGGGATGGGATGGGATGGGATGGGATGGGATGGGATGGGATGGGATGGGGATGGGGATGGGATGGGGATGGGATGGGGATGGGGAGGGTGAGAGGAGGAGAAAAGAGAGGAGAAGGGAAATGGGGAGGGGGTGGTATTGGAGGGAAAGGGATGGAATGGGGACAAGTGGCGGGTGGAGGAGGGATGGTGGCAGTTGGAGGTGAGGGGAACAGGCCCAGATGGCAGTTGGAGAAGGCATGGCCAAGGCGATGGCGATGAGGGGGGTGGGATGGGACTATTTTGGGATGAGACAGGTTGGGGTGGCAGGTGGAGGGGCTCCAGGGGGCCGTTGGAGGCAGGGCTGGGTGGCAGCGGGGTGGGGGCAGGACTGGGTCCCTGTGGGGTGGGACACGGAGAGGCCCCACCTGAGGGCTGGTGGTGGGAGAGGTTGGGAATGGGGCTTTGGGGGCAACTGGGGGGCCTGGGGCTCTGCTGGTAGCTCAGAGAGCCCAGCAAGGGGCTGGGGGAGCTGGGGAGGGGACCTGGCTGACGCTGTGTCCCCGCAGGCCGTGAGGGGCACAGGGATGGGGACGGGGCTGTGCCCACCCCTGAGGGGCACGGGGGGTCGCGGGACTGATCCTGCTCCTCTGCCCAGGTGAGGGGAAGGGAGGAAGGGAGAGGGGTGGATGGGATGGGATGGGGATGGGATGGGGATGGGGATGGGGATGGGATGGGGATGGGGATGGGGATGGGGATGGGGATGGGGATGGGGATGGGGATGGGGATGGGATGGGATGGGGATGGGGAATGGATGGGAATGGGATGGGGATGGGGATGGGATGGGGATGGGATGGGGATGGGGATGGGGATGGGGATGGGGATGGGATGGGGATGGGATGGGGATGGGGATGGGATGGGGATGGGATGGGGATGGGGATGGGATGGGATGGGGATGGGATGGGATGGGGATGGGATGGTGGATGGGATGGATGGGATGGGATGGGATGGGGATGGGAATGGGAATGGGATGGATGGGAATGGGATGGGGATGGGATGGGATTGGGGATTGGGATGGGGATGGGGATTCGGAATGTGGGATGAATGGGATGGGGGATGGGCAATGGGGGATGAGGGGACATGGGCATGGGCTGGGGATCATGAGCAGGAGGATGTGCACTAGGTTCTGAATCTTGACATTCTGGAAATCATCTAATTTCTCCCCTTTTCAAGAGTTCTCCAGAGTTTCTTGTACCTAAACTTCTTTAAAAGTTGGCATTAGCATTGAACTTCTCAACCCACTCTTTTATGCCTCTTGTTGAAGAATCTGCAGTTTTACACGTCAAATTTTTAAAATTTCCCACTTAAAACCCTCCTTCTGCACTGAAATCCTCCCAGCCTGGTGTGAGCCACGTCCCTGCTCCCTAACCTCAAAACCTTTCCAGGGTTTGCTGAAGCGTCGAGCATCATCTACTCCGAAGTGACGGTGCCAAGGCAGCTGGAGCTGAGGCACGGGGCTGACACAGAGGTCAGGCACCGGTTTGGAAATGATTTTGGAAACACTTTTTAGCCCCTGGGTGCCCCCAGCCCTGACCTTGCCTCTGCCCAGGGGGATGCTGCATAGGGGATGGAGAGATGGGAGGGGGGTGGCTCCGGATCCCAAAATCAGCCCACAGACTGGGCTTCCCTGGGGAAGGCAGGGACCATGGAAAACAAATAAATACCCCAAATTTTAACACGCATTGCGTTACAGGAGGACAAGGCTTACTTAATCAAGGCAGAAGGAAATTACCACGTCGTCCACCTGACGCAGGCAAAGTAAGGCTCCTCAGTCCTCCTTCCTCCTGCAAATCTCCGTGGCAGTGATCAACCCCCACCCTGAGAAATTTTGCTTCATTTTCCAGAAATCTGGTGGCCAAGGACCTCCCGGTTTTCACTTACGGGGCCGAGGGGGAGCTGATAACCGAGTTTCCGTATGTTCAGGTGAGGGTTGGGGTCTGCCCGGGGTGCCCCAGGGGACAGAAGCAGTGCTGCTCGCCGAGGGGATGCTGTTTCTGAAAACATCCTTTTTTTTTTCACTATTTGTTTGAAAAAGGAAGGGAATTGTACAAAAAGTTGCTAAAACCTGGTGAAAAAAAAAAGAAAAAAAAAAAAAGAGATTGATTAGAACGCTTGATTTTCCTTTCCAACTTTTAATGTTTTTTTTTGTTTGTTTTTCTTTTTTTTTTTTTTTTTTTTTTTAAACAATTTAACTCCACCAAAAGAAAAATTGAGGAATCTGAAAAATATCGCCCCAAAATCACCATTATCCAAATAATCCCTTTTCTATTAGCACTGGAGGATCCTGCCACACTCCCTCAGCCTCTTCCACCCCTCTCATCCTCCTGCTTTTTCCCTGCTCACCTCCCGCACCTTTTATTTTCACCCAAGGGGATCCTGCCCCAAATGAAAGGACAGATTTTTTTTTAAGGTTCTTTTCTCATTTTTCCCTTTATGGGTGCATTTTCTGAGCCCTGTCTCAGGAGCTTTTCCCGTGGCTGAGGCCCCGCTTGCCCCTTGCAGGACGACTGCTTCTACCAGGGGTTCGTGGAGGGCTCCCCAGGCTCCATCGTCTCCGTCAGCACGTGCTTTGGGATCAGGTAGGGTGCTGTGGGGCTGGTTTTTTTTGTCCTTTTTCAGAGCAGGTGATCCCCCTTCTGCCTGCCTCCTGCTCCATCCCATGGGTAGTGCCCAAATCTGAGATAGTTCAGGAGCAAATTTTAACATAGGGGTCAAAAAGATGCATAGATAGAAGAAAATTGGGGAGAGAGTTAAAAAACTGTTAGAAAATCAGTTTTTAATGAAATATTTGGCCAAGCAGTGTGCTTTGCACACCTCTGGCAGGCTGTAGGCAGGATTTACGTGCCAAAACACTGCAGAGACACTCAAAAAGCGCATAGTGAGCAAACGCTGCTGGGGACGCCTTCCTCCTCAGGTGCACCCCACATTTGGGGTATTTTTTGGGATATTTTCATGTCTGGCAGAGCTAAAAGGAACATTTTCTATCCCCTGTTTCCAAAACCACATAAAATGCTGGCTCGTCCCAAGAGCCCCGAACCCCCGAGGATGCTCCTGGGGCTCCCAGCTGATGGCACAAGCTCCCGAGGGCTGCCCCGCACCTCCATCACTTTGCTTCTTTTTTTTTGCACTTCTTAAATAATTTAAGAAGCCGTCTCCTTCACGTCTCTTACCAGCGGAGTGCTGCAGTTCGGAGACCTGAGGTACGAGATCCAGCCGGTGGAGAACTCCTCGAGTTTCCAGCACCTCATTTTCCGAAAGGCGCTGGCAGGAGGCTCGCCCCCGCTCTGCCGGGTGCCCAGGGAGCACCAGGACCTGGGCACAGGGGGAGAAATCGCAAACGGGAGCAGGAAAATCCTGGTTATCGAGGTAAGAGCTCCCCATCCACTGTTCAGAAACCCAGTTTCCACGTTATCAGAGGAAATCAGTTTGCTCTGGCTTCATTTGTTACGGGACCTCACTGATGTGCTCGTTTTCGGAAACACCCTGGTTATTAAAAAAATAAAAATGATTTGCTTTGATTTACCAACGCTTCCAGGGCTTGTGAGGACTTTTGTCGTTGCTGTCCCTGCTGTCAAAAGAGCCGAGATAAAGTGTTATTTCTGTACCTACCAGTGTGGATTATTTATTATTTATGCCAGCGTGCTCCGATTGCATTGGGTGAAAGAAATAGAGCGACGTTCGGAGATGCTGCCTTCTGATAACAATACGAAACACTTAGGTGAAAGAATTACTTACCAGCTATATAAAAAATATAGTTTTTTAAATTGCTACAATTTCACTGAATTTACTGAGAACCCGCCAGAGAGAGGAGAATTTATAATAATAATAAAGTGGCGTCTGTTCATTGGAGGAGAGGGATGAGTCCCCACGCTTAAATGGGTCTTAAGCAAGAGCAGTTTTGTAGCCATGCATGACTCTGCCAAGCTGGTTGTATTTCTGAGAGCAAAAATCTTTTTCTCCTTTTCTTCTTCCTCCTCCTCTTCCTCCTTGTCCTCGTCCTCCTCTTCCTCCTCCTCTCACTCTCAGGGAATTACTAAATCCAGGTGGTCCCCAGAGCCCCGTGCAGTGAGAGAGGCTTTTGCAGTATTCTGGCATGCCAACGAATAAATTCAATTTCTTGAAAGCAAAAATTTTTGAACCCCAAAATGCCATTCTGGGGTTGGGAAGTCCCCGTGCTGCAGTGAAATCTTGGCTGTACGCTGATGCCATCAGAGATGGGACATTGCTACCACTGAGGCTGATGGCTGGACTCGATGACCCTGATCCTTCCCAACCTAGATGATTTTGTGATTCCTTGACTCTATACCAATGCAGTAACCTTTCCTTCTCCAAAATATTTGCTATGTTCTCGTCCTGTGGGTACCAGGGAAATTCTGGACTGTGTTGAGTAACAGCACCTCGTTTTTTTTGCAATGTGGTGAAAAAAAAAAGCACCTCCCAGAGTGTGACCTGTGCCATTTGATCTTTTGCAGGAGGTCCCCGGGCTCCAGAGCCTGCCCGTGCCCACCCGGTACCTGGAATTGGCTCTTGTCGCCAACCAGGAGCTGGTAAGTGCCAAAACTCAGCGCCGTGGGGCTTTGATACAGCTGATGCTCCGTGCTGGTGGCTTTTCTTTGCTCTGAGCCCCACTTCTGAAATCAGGGGGCTCCAATGTCTGTGTTTAGAGGAGAAGGGGCGCTGCTTCTCAGCACCTGAGGGAACCAAAGCACATTCCCGTGCCTCTCGCCATGGGAAGGGGTTGATGGTGCTCACCCCGTGTGTGGGCGCTGCTGTGATTTGAGGCCGGGAGGAGAAATGGTTTTGAAATAAGTGATGAGGTCTGACTGCCGTAACACGCTCAGGGACGGACCCCAGCAGCCATTTCTGGGGTAATTGGAGCGTTTTGAAAGCTACTCTGGTGTTGATTTGAATGGAATGAAATGGTGCAAAATGGTCCCATGGGGATACACTGTCCTGGGAAGGCAGCAAAACCCAGGAGCCGTGCCCCCTCTCCAATCCCAAAAGAGGTGGGGATTCAGCCTCCCCACCACCCCAAGGCACCAGCTCTGCTCCGTGGGACCAAGGTTTTTGATTAATGAAGGCAGATAATGAGCACGCCTCTCCCTGCACCATCCTCTTGAATGAGCAGGGACCGTGGGCTCCTGTCGGTGCCAAGAGCCATCCTCTCGAAATAACAGAGCCCCAGTGGGGTGAGAAATCCCACACCGTGATTCTGACCGATGTGGTTAATTAGGATTTTAGCTGGGGAAGGGCTGGTGCAGACCCACGGGGGGCTACGGGTGCTGGGCTGTGGAAGGTGCAAGGGGAGCTCCCCCCGCGGGCATCGCGAGGCTGTAACGCATCCCCTCTCCCCCCTTTTCAGTTCAAAGCTAACAGCTACAACGAAACCCTGATGCTGCACCTCTTCATTTCCATAAGCAACCTCCTCAACACGGTGAGCACCCACGCGGTCCCGACGGTGGTGGGTGCCCTGGGAAGGGCCGGGTGCTCGAGCCTCTCATGGAGAAATGGGCTCCCAAGCGATGCAACTCCCACCCTCCTAAAAAATCCCTTCGGGTGTGAGTGAAGCCAGTGTAAAAATTATTACGAAATTATCCCTTTAAAGCTGTTTGATGGAATATGCATTATTGGTGCTAAGTGCTTCCTGGTGGCTCATTATGATCTCCACTTCATCATCGCCCTGCTCTGAGCCCTAGGAAGGAGCACAGGGGCAGGGTGCCGGGGCATCAGCCCGCAGCTCAGCCATCCCAAAATGAGCTGCATGGAAAGCCCTATTAAATTGATATAATTCATGGAAATAAAGAAAATGCTCGGCTGTTTCGGCGAGCACCCCCGGGGACGGGGACCCCACCACCTCCCTGGGCACCCCCAGGTGTACAAGCGCATGAAGCTGCAGATCGTCATCAGCGCCGTGGAGATGTGGACCAAGGGGGACCAGGTGATGGCCACCCACAGCCTGGAGCAGACGCTGCAGGTCTTCACCAGCTGGTGCCAAAAAGACGCCGCGGTGCGCATCGAGTACGACCACGTGGAGCTGCTGCTGTAAGAGCCCGCGGGATAAGGGATAAGCAGGAGCAGGGGCACCTCCAGCCCCATTCCCCTTCCAATTTTTGCGCCCATACACCCTGCATGTTTCTGTCCTGGTGGTATCTCACGGAGGAAAATGTTCCGGCTTAATCAGTCCATGTTTTAATCAGCGCCCGTTTGTCATGTAAATTGGTACAAGGAGGTTTTTAAGCACTTTGCCCTTCCCTTTCCTTGTCCTCTTTTGTATTTTCCCAGGCATGCGGAGCGCGCATCGCATTTCCAATTCTCATGCCGTTGTCTGTAACTAAATTATTTTAATCTCGTTTTTAATGTGAACCCTTTTGTATAGATTAGCCGTTCATTTTTAGACGTCTTAATTCATGGGCGTGTGGTTTACAGCAAAATATTTGAATTAAATTGTTTTGCTGGGAGGGGGAAGCTGGATCTCATGCTATGATGCACTCACTTAAGCGCTTCATTCATTCCCTTTTTAACACCTAGTGCATTGTTTCTGTTTTGACTGCTCCTTTTACCTTCCTTTGATGGGAAACAAACCCTCTGCATGCTAAAATCTCCGATAAATGTGTATAAATATGCATTTACTCTATAACACAGTCACTGCACACAGGGGAACCTTGCTGAGCAGCCCCAGAGCTCAGAGGGCAGCCAAAGGGATCCCCACTGATCCCTTCAAGGAAGGAGATCCCCATTGGTATAGATCTTCAAGAAATGAGTTTATTGCAGCCTGAAGCCATAATTTTCCAGCTGTAATTCCCGCAGGGTATCCCGTTTATGATGATGCTGTCGCTTCCCTTTAACACCCCAACCTCTCTGCTGCAGTGGCCAATATTACGCGGAGCGGGGCTTTGCCTGGAAGGGGATGATGTGCCAGCCCAATTCCGTCGGTGTCGTCTCGGTAAGAGGAGACCTCACAGTTTGTAACATTGCCCCCATAATTTATCCTCCCACATAGCAGCTATAATATCACCGAACCCCAGAATCCCAGAAGGGTTTGAGGTTGGAGGCACCTCTGGGTCCATCCGGAGCCACCCTTCTCCAGCAGGGACACCCAGAGCATGGTCCCAGCACCACATCCCAGCAGCTTTTGGGGATTTGAGTCACGACAAGTGCCAGGCTGCTTTGGATGCTGTCCCCCAGCTCAGGATCCTGCAGCCTGAGCCCAACACCGAGCGGTGTTCGCAGGCTTCAGCTGCTTGGCTAAAGGAGAGCACCTTCCATTCACAAATTTCCCCGTGAAATCAGCATTAACCTGAGTTATGCCCAGATTTTGCTGTAGCAGAGGACGTAGATCTCTCTGGACACCTGGGCAGATTGCAGACACCTCTCCTAGGGTGCAAAGAAGACGTTCAGGCGTTCAAGGTGCTCGGTGATTTCCATCCAGCAGCTGGTACATGGATATTTCAGGGTTGTTTTAATGCCTATCAGTGTACACAGATGCAGTGTAAGGCTCAAGATAACTTACACAGCAAAGGTGATCACTGCTCAGTGTTATTATGTAAAAAGATACAGTTCCAGCAAGAAAAAAAAAAAAAAAAAAAAGGAAAGAAAAAAAAAAGAGGACAAATAAACTTGTCAAAAAAAGAGGAAAAATAAACTTGTCATATTCACAGTGAACCCTGGGATTTAATTCCTTATCACTCCTGGGTTCAGGTTTTTCAGCAGATAACGTCTAAACCGGGCATCTAAAGGAGGTGATGTTCGTCTTGTTTTTGTTGTTGCTTGAAGAAGAGGTGGAACAAATCCCCAGTGTTTCCCCAGAAAAAATTCTCTTTAGGGGTTTTGGTTTCCCAAACTGGTTGTTTGCTCTGCAAGCCCCCAGCTAGCACAAATTGTACAATTACTGAGCAAAATTCAAGAATTCTGGACCTGAACTTGTCCGCATCAACATCCCCTGCTTAGGAAAGCGTGGACCTGAGATTTTTTTCTCCCCGGCTGCAGTTTTCCGGCCAGGACACCATCAGCGACGTGATGACCCTGGCGCACGAGATCGGCCACAGCCTGGGCTTCGACCACGACGACGCGAGGCAATTCTACGACCAATTCTGCAACTGCAACTGCACCCACAGAGGATGCATCATGCGATCGTCCCCGGGGTGAGTACGGCTCGGTTCTCCCGACATCATTTTGGGTGAAAATTGGGTCATTGCCTCCTTCTGCCCTGCTCTGAGCAGCTGCTGGGTCGCTTTAGGGGTGTGCATCTGCCCCATTCCTCCACAATATCTTTTAATTCCTTTTTTTCAGCATCTACCTGGCATCCAAGCTGGCCCTGCTTTGTGCAGGTTGTAGGGCCAGGGACTGCCAATTTAAGTCCCTTCTAATTTTAATTAAAAAAATTAAATTTAATTAAAAAAATTACCATTCTTTATCAAGTTCTTAACAAGGTTGTGAGAATAGGTTTTTAGGTGAGACAAGGGACTCCAGCTCTCCCTGAGCCACAAATTCACGGCAAACTCGGCTTCCTTGATCCAACTGGTGACATAATAATTTTTTATTAATTTTCCATCTGCTTTCTCCAAATACTCCTTGCTGTTGGCTTCTTCATGGCAGGGTTGAAAGCCTCCTGCAGACCCAGGGGTTACTGCACCCCTCCTTTTGCACTGCCTGTGTAGGGATGCTGCCTTTGAAAATAAATCTCCCAGAAAAGTTGCCTTGCATGGGGCAGGAGCTGCTCCTCTTTCCTGCTCCCTCGTTATATAGCCATAACGAAGATAAAAATTACAAACTGTGTTTAGCTTCTCTATAAAACCCTCTGCACCAGATGATTTAGCTTCTCTTTTGGAAATCCTCACGCCCACGCTCCTGCATGGCTCACCAACTCGATGTCATTTACCTGAGCCTTTTCCTTCTCTCTTCCAGGCACCTATTGCTGTCTCCCGTGTCCTTATGCAAGAAAAAAAGGAAGAAAAAAGAAAAAAAAGCCTTGTTTCCCCTAAAATTTCCCATATTCCTCATTGTTACTTAATCTCTCTGTTATTCTTTGACCCCACCGATTACTTTATGTACATGGTATGGTTTTATATATATATATAATCCATATTTTTCTTGCAGATCTTGCTTGGCATTCAGTAACTGCACTATGAGAGAATATTACGACGAAGTAATCAAAAAAAATAAGCCTTGTCTGTTCAACATACCATCCTTAAAACCATTTCTTTTTGAACTCTGTGGCAACGGCGTCCTGGAAAAAGGCGAAGAATGTGACTGCGGCAGTGACGAGGTCAGCAATTAAATATTTCGTTGCAATCTACGGGATAGAATGGGGTTAATAAAGTGGTTTTTTTGCAACTATAAATGCTCACCAGCTCCTGGGAAGGAGCAAACACCGAAGGGTTACGTGTCCAAATGAGCCCGTTGGCTTCCACTTCCACGGACACCCTCGAAGTGGGGGTTTACCCAACCATGGCTTTATTTGTGTGCAGAAAATGCGGGATTTTTGTACATGCAGAAGGTATTTAGAGGTAATTTAATGTTTTTTTTTCCTAACTGTGTGGAGGGACCTTTCCCATCTGACCGTGCAGAGCTAAGGGCGAGCTCGTGCCGTAGGGGGGCTCTGGCTACGAGGGGCTGGCCAGGAGCTGCGGGGAGGGAGATGACTCCAAACCTTGTCCACCTGGAAGGGTTTTTGCCTTCTGGTTGTGCTAATGTTCTTCAAAATGGGGGTCTGCAGACAAAAAAAACTCCCTGAGTCAGAAGTCAAAGCCCAAAAAGGGGCATGTCCTTGCCTCCACCAAGCTCTATAGGCAAACTATTGCCACTTGCCCTCTTCTTGTCTATAAAACCAGAGTTTTCCTGTTCTTTCTTCTATTAAATTTACCCCGAAATCAGTGGAAGAGTTTTCTAAAAGTGCTTTTAAGAGCACTTGCGTGTTGGTATCTCCACTGCCGTAATGCTAGGAGGTGCAGCTGTGGCTCACCAGGACAGTTATGTTTTCCAGCAAGAACTCTCATTTTTAATTTGTGAAGTTGTTCTTTGTACAGAGCTTCTGCAGCCTGGTGTGCTGAGCAGATGCACTTTTTATCACCCCATTTAACCTCTTTCTTTATTTCCCATATTTATTCCTCCCCAATCCACCCTAGGCTCTCCCTTTCCCCCACTCCCAGCCATCCCTTTTTGCACATCCTCACAATCCCCTTAAAATACCCCACAATGATTTTTACAGCATCCTCCCTTCCCTCTCAAATACCTCATTCCAAGCCTGGTCTCCCCAGAAGGCCCACAGAAAATCTTATTTTCTGTCCGTTACCCTCGTTTTTTGGGGGTTTGTGTGCCTGTGTGATAATTCAGTGCTGCTCCCGTCTCCTTTTATTGTTATTATGCTAGAAAGCCATCCATCAGCTCTTCTTACAAAGCAGATATCCCTAAGTTCCAGGCACCCTTAAAAACTCAATAATTAATTTTTTTTTATGGGACAAAGCCCATCAGCACCTTGACTGCTTTGGGGCAGGGAATCTGAACTTTTAAGGAATTAAAATTCCTGAATAAAACAGTTCCCTGCGACACAGAGCTCCACAAGCGAGGAGCAGCAGAAAAACAGCAGAGATTTTCCTGAATTCCCTGCAATTTCACGTCTCTTAAGCTAGAGAGGAGCATCTGTAACAGCGGGATGTTTTGGTGTCTCACCCCCAGGCATGCCTGGAGTCGGGATGCTGCTTCTCCTCCACCTGCTCGCTCGCACCGGGGGCTTCTTGTTACAGGGGCGAATGCTGTCACAAGTGCCAGGTGAGTTACAGCAGGACCTGCTGCTACTAGAAATTAGGGTAATTAATGCCTTAGCTGCTCGTCAGGGCTGTTTGTTCGGTGCTATCGTGTTTATTTCCCATATTTCTCAGTATATTTGGTCTGAAAATATGCGTAAGCATGATTGGAATCTGCCCGTGCTCCCGCAGAGAACAAATTGTTCCGAAACAGTGAAATTATGGCCGAGGAAAACCCTCAGCAGGAGCAGCAAACGAGGGCGTAGGGACAGCACCGCACCCAGCAGCCAGCCACAGGCGTTGGCAGTCCTGGAGCAGACATCCCACGGCCACAAGAGTGGCCAAAAAGAGCGTTTTTAGGGAAAATCTAGCAGCAGGGTACCTCTAGAGGCATCTCTGACTTGTTCGGCCCGAAATGTGTGAATAAAACCACTCCTTGCTCTGTCTGACGTTTTGCAAATTTAAATCATCCTTCATCTTACACTTTTGAGGCATTCCCTAAGATTTTGCCACGTGGATTCGAATAATTTGGACCAGCCATTCTGGAAAAAAAATAAAAAATAAAAAAAAATCAATTCCAAACTTTTGTGTGCTTTTTTTTTTTTTTTTTTTTTTTTTTTTCCTAGTTTCAGCCCGCAGGAAAAATCTGCAGAGAATACAGGAGCACGTGTGACCTGCCGGAGTTCTGCAACGGCTCCTCGGCCACCTGCCCCGAGGACGTGTTCAAGCAGGACGGGACACCCTGCGGGGACAACGACCGCTGCTACGAGGGGCAGTGCCACAGCCACGAGGCTCAGTGCAAGGCTTTGTTCGGCAAAGGTAGCGCATCGCCCGAGCCAGAAGTAGCCCCTTGCCTCCTCCCTTCTCCCTGCCCTCTGCTTTGAAAAAGTCCTTTTTTTTTTTCTTTTTCTTTTTTTTTCTTTTTTTTCTTTTTTTTCCACGGTTCCTGAAAATTCATTGTTTGCTCTTTGTGATTTAGGCAGGCTTAGGTGTCTGGAGGGGTTACCTAAGAATATAAGTGATCTTAACCAGATCTACAACTCAAATCCCGATGATTGTTGCTGATGGGGAAGCAATTTTTCTATGAAAATACACATAGAAAAATCACAGAATCACGGAATTTCTAGGTTGGAAGAGCCCTCCAAGATCTCTGAGCCCAACCTCTGACCTAACCCTAACTAGTCCTCCCCTAACCCATATCACTGAGCTCTAAACGTCTTTTAAAGACCTCCAGGGATGGGGACTGAACCCTGGGCAGCCCACCCCAATGCCCAACAACCCTTTCAGTAAATAAATTCTTCCTAATATCCAACCTAAACCTCCCCGGTGGATGAAAAAATTACAGAATGCTTTTGAAATACCCCGTGATTTTATATCATAACTGTATAGATGAAGCAATATGTATATAAATATAGTATAATATATATTTATTTAATAGTTAGGGTAACAAAAAAGAGGTTTCCTCAGGCAGCAGTGGTTGCAGTGCCCTAAATGGCAAGGATATTGATAAGGCAGATTATTTCTGTCGTCATCTTGACACGGGAACTGTCATGTGAAGGGCTGATACAACCATCTCAGCCTTCTCTGTGTTATACAGCAAGTTAGAATTAAAGGGAAAAAAAAAATAGATTTGGGAAAGATTTGCAGTCTGTATTCCCATCTTGTGCTCCGGGTTGTTCTGGATTAATGACCACGGTTTGATTGTTGGTTGATCTCTTGGTGGCAGATCTGTTCATGCAGCCTCTTCATTCTCACATTGACCAATCTGGGGAAAAAATAAATTGAAAAATCCATAAAACACGACAGGTCCTTTCAGGACGATCCCACGGAGCAGCAGGAGGGGTTAGGGGTGCAGGTGTGCACCTCGCCATGAACATCTCTGTTTTTTTTTGTCCCTGCAGCCGCCCAACGTGCCCCGTTGAGCTGCTTCAGGGAAGTGAACATCCGAGGCGACCGCTGCGGGAACTGCGGCTGGAACGGGACCTACTACACCAAGTGCCAGGAGGAGTGAGTGCCACCAGCACCTGGCTGCTCAGCAGGAGCAGGACATCGCCCCGTGCAAGGGGTGTGCAGCCCCAGCACCCTGTTCCATTGGATAATCATTTTTTTTTAGCCTTTTAGCCTTAATTCTTGTCTTGTTGCTGCCATGCGCAGCATCTCCAAAGCCCCCTCTTTCCTGACCTTTCCTCATGCTTGCACTTGGCAGTTCACCCAGGACTGGGACATTGCCATCATCAGAGCAGACACTAGAGTGCAAATTCAGAATTGAGCTAATTTCTTATTTTCCCACTGCACAGGCAGAACTTGAGCTTCACTGTTGCCATCTCTGAGCGCAGAGATGAGCTTCTGAGGAACTCTACCTGGCATAAATATCAGCATTTCTCATACAGTGTTTTTAAAAATGGCAAAATGTGAAATTTGAGGCTCAAAAAGACAAACAGATGTGTCCCTGCTGCTTCTGGAGAGACAGACCCAAGGGCTGCACCCATATGTCCCATGGCACTGACACCACTGGGTAGCGTAGGATCCGTGTCAGCGCTAGTCAAACACCTCCAAAAAGGGCTGGTTGGATGGGAATTGCCTACAGGGATCAGCCCTGGACAGTTGTAACCTCTGACCATGCCCAAATTGCTCCAAGGGTGTGAGCTGGAAGAGGCCAAAAAATTAGCAGGGTGCTCAGCCAGCCAGCAGCACGGGTCAGCACATCCTTGGATGTCTTCACAAACCTTGCAGCATCCTGTCTGTCCATCTGTCTGTCTGTTTTAGGAACATCCTCTGCGGAAGAGTGCAGTGTGCCAACATTAAACGAGTGCCAGGTCCGGCAAGACGGCGAGACCGTGGTGCAAACCACGGTGAACAACGAGCTGTGCTGGGGGCTGGAGTTCCACCTGCCCCTGGACACGCCTGACGAAGGCTCGGTGAAAGACGGGACGTCGTGCGGGAGGAACAAGGTACCCATGGATAGCCAGGGGGATACAGGGATGGAATAGGATGGAGGTTAAATGGAAGGATTTTTGTTCCTAAAGAAAATGTTCATGATCTCCAAGATAAGCCCCAAAGTGTTAAAGGCTCCTTTTAGAGGGGGGAAAATCTCAGCACGTCACTTTGGCTTTTGTTCTTGGCTTTTTTCTTCTTCTTCTCAGGCATGAAAGATTCTCCTCTTCTTTTGAAGCTACTAACCAAAGTCAAAGTTTATCTGTTGCACATGAAAAAAAGAATTTCAAATGTTCTTCCAAGAACAGGGCTCACTCCTTCCCTTTGACCCACACAGAAAGCTGAAGACCTGTCAAGCTGGTGACAGACTAAAGGATCAAGTTCTTGCTATTATATGGCAGCAAAAATACCTCTAAGAAAAGCCCAGGCACTGAGTTCCACCAAAAGGGAAGGAGCTCATCAGTGCTGGCTTCAGCAGAGTTCCCCTTTCAGGAGAGATGGGGCTCACACCACCCACCAAATGCAAATAGTTTTCCCCAAACTAACCAATTTGCAAGACAAAAAGCCCAAAGTGTAACTCCTCCGGTCTCCTCCTGCCTAGAGGAGATACTTGGGTGCCTCCTGGAGATATGAGGATGCTCCAGGCGAGCAAACAAAACCCCTTCTGTACTTCCAAGGCCTCGTTCATGTCCTAGGGACTGGACAGGATGAGACAGGAGCCTACTAAAATTGGCACAACTGTCAGGTTTTTTTTCAGCTCTGAATTACTCCTGAGCTAGAAGAGGTTTCGGTGCCTTTTGTAGCCCTCGGTGGGTTTGTTCCACCTCCCTTTTGTTTGTCTTTTGTTCCATCTCTTTGGTTCGTCTTGACCCTGGAAGCCAAGACCTTCATTTTATGTTCCCCTGGTGCTTGTTTGGAGAGAGGGGATGAAAAGCCTCGGATGAAATGAAATGAGTGAGAAGACTTGCTGGGCCGTTTCTCAGTAATTTTATCCCGAATTCGGCAGTCAGTGCCCTTTCCTGGCATCTGTCATTTTACCTTTTCACCGACGTAGATTTGTTTCTTTCTGCAATAAATCTGTCTCCTTCTGCAGATATGTATAAACAGGACGTGTGTCAGTGCAGCTTTTCTCAACAGCGATTGCACAGAGAAACAGTGCAACGGCAAAGGGGTAAGTAGAAAACCTCCAAGCATCCTTCAAAGAGCAGCATATATGAAATGTAAATTTGTCTCTCAAAATCAACAGTAGAAATCCCATAAAGGTTTCCGGATCAGCAGCACACAAAATATTTTGTTTTTCACCCATGGTTTCCTCCCAGATCGTGCTCTGACAGTCCGCAGCCCTTGATAGCAGCGTTCATCGCTTACTTCTACCTCTTGTCTTCTTTGTTCCCTCGGATGTTGTAAAAGCTGCCTTCTACATCGTAACGCTTCATCCTTCATTGCACCTGTCAGTGCTGCTGAATTTAAATCAGCTGGGCTTGGAGAGATCCTCTGAAAGATGCACGCTCGGTTATACAACGCTGTTTTCCTCGCAAGTCGCAGAGAAATGGCAGATTTTGTACGACACGGGCTGCACTTCATCTTCCATAAAACCTACATTTCGGGCACTGATACTGGCAGAATTATTTCACGTGTCAGTTTTTTTTCTGTGATCTCACTTTCAGGGTGCCCGTCCCTCTTTCCTGATAGATGTAGGCGAGCAGGAGATGTGTCTGGGGAAAGTCTGGGGAAGATTTGCTGTTGTGGGGCCTTTAGCTGTAAAATCAGGGAGAATCTGTAAGAAAAATCACGCTGGAAACCCACAGCTGGAGGAATCCGTTGTCTCCTTTTCATCTCTTACCACGAGCTGCAGATATCTGGGTCCACTCTCAGTTACGTTTTTGGTAAAAGGTAGTTAGAGTAACCACGTCTTTTTGCTGTCCCTGGAGAAAAAAGGGTTTATGACCCTAAAAGACACATGCTTTTTCCTCGGGAAGCAGTTCTCCAAATTAAGCACCCTCGAAATGTAATAATTATTGCTCTGTCTGGCTCAGGCTGCAAAGAAAAGGAGTGAAAAAAGCAAACCTCCACCCTGCCACTGCAGGGAAGGGGAGAGAAATGTTACTCAAAGCCCAGCCCCTGTGTTTGTGCCTTTACCTGGGAAAGCGAGCAATTTTGGGATGGGACAGCAGAGCTCTGGGTCTGTACAGCCAAACAGCATCACGACCCTGGGCTAACAGCAAACCATGCAAAATCAGCCAGCCAGCACCTAAAGAGAGCTAAAAAAGCTCACTCAGGGCTCAAAAGCCCTGATTTCTGAGTCACACGGAGGTGACAAAATCACTTGGGATGTGTTTGTGACATTTCATGACAGAAGTAGGGACATGTGGAAGACCAGGGTAGCTCTGCAGTTAATAAAGACGACGAAAGTGCTTTCCAAATCTGCAGCGCAAACAGCTTGAGGATTGCACAAAGCACTCCTACCAAGCTGGCAAAAAGGCACGAGTAACCAGGCTGTGGAGCTCATCCTGCCCTTCGCTGCCACACGGTGTTTCTCTCTCTTTCGTGCCCTAAAATATTTATTAATTTTCTTCTAGGTGTGCAACAACAAGAAAAACTGCCACTGCGATTTTGGGTGGGCCCCTCCAGACTGCAAGCAGGAAGGATTTGGAGGCAGCATCGACAGCGGCCCACCTCCTTCGTACTACTGTAAGCCCTGCACATCACACTGCCTCTCTTGGCATTATTTGCTCTTGGATAAGCTCAGCAGTTCCTCACCTGTACTTCCAAATCATTCCAGGCTTGGTTCAGGCATCTCTTTCTCCATTCCTTTTAAAATACATCAGATTTGGGCTTGCTGGTCTTTGTAGATCCCTTCCAACTGAACTATTCTGTTCTATTCTAATTTATTCTATTCCAATTTTATTCTATTCTAATTTATTCTATTCTAATATATTCTATTATTTTTTTTCCTCTTATCTCACTTCTTTTTACCCCTCCAGTTGTGCTTGCCTTGCCTGCCTCTCTCTGACTACTCTCAGGGCACCCAGAGGAACTGCAGATCGATTCCATTAAGCACAGGGGCCAACGAGCCAGCCCACGGTTCATTAAGGCAGCTGATGAGGAGTGTCTTTTGAGCTCATCAGAACCCTCTTAGGAGAATCTTCCTTTCCTCTTAACAGAGATCTCCAGCCGAGCTTCAATCCTGGGAGAACAGGGCATAAATATTTTCCTGGCACGTACCCCTGAGATTTACCCTTCTGCTTTCCTATATATTATGGGCAATAACTTGCTGATGAGCAGAACGCCACAGTCACTCAGCAGCACTCCAAAACCCGACTGCTGGCAGCTTTCAGGCTCTTCCCTGACCCTCTTTGCTCATCAGTTCTGCTGCTGATGAAGAATGATGAGATTTTTTCTGCTGCTTATTTGGCCGGGCTGATGGCAAGTTGCTCGAGCCCAATGGCACTACAGAAATCAAGCTCTTCTGGGCAATTAACAGCTTCTATGCTGAATCAGCTGTTCCTGAAACATCAACCCGTCGTGATATTTCACCTGCTGGCGTGGCGGTGAAGATGCCCAAGTGGCAACGTCGTGCTCCTCTCAATTCATGGAGAAAGGCCAGCGCCAAATTTTAGGATCCTGCCGGAGTCTTCCTGGTGGCTGCCCCGGCGTGCTGGGAGGAGCGAACCCTTTTCCACCTTTCCACCTTTTCCACCTTTTCCACCTTTTCCACCTTTTCCACCTTTTCCACCTTCCCATTCTCCTCCAGACACTAGCTACAGGCTGGAGCCTCAGCCATTAGCAGAAGTAGATGTTCAGCTCAAATTTCTTATCCGCTATATCTCGATATTTCCTCATCTGTGCGCCCTTCTCAGGGAACAACCTTGGAAGCTTTCCATTTTTTTTCCAACCTCACTGGTTATCCTCGAGCTCTTTACCACGCAGTCCCAAAAAGAATCCTTGCTTCCAGGCCCATGTAGTGTAACTTTACCCCTTGTGCTGCGTACCTGAAGGCTTTTGATTGTTTCTGAGAATGGTGCAAACGCTGGTGGCTCCCAAGCAGGCAGTGGTGGAGGTGCCTCGGAGACCTGAGCCCTTTCTTCTCCATTTCTTCCCTTTTTGTGCCAGAAACGCCTGGTGTGCGCAGAGGGTAACGTTCTCTCTTTCTGTCTTCCTTTCCAATCAGGGGGAACTGTAAAGAATATGGGAAAAGCTGCTGGGACGTTGGTCTTACTCTTCTTGGTTTCGGGCATTTTGGTGTACAAGAGGGCTGAAATTGTGGACTACATCCGAAGGTAGGTGACACTCCAAAAATTAACAATTTCTAACCAAGGTTCTCGGCATTTCTTTGTTCCCTGCACAATACTGGCCACCTCTCTTGAGAACCAAGTTTCTTTTGCTTCAAAGACAACGCAGAGGAATGCAACCGGGAGTGCTCCGGGCTGGGAACAAAGCCTTGTCACAGCTGCCTCGTATCCAGAAATGGCAGCAAGAGCTTAACATTTTTTAATCCATTCTGGCATTTTTTAAAAGGTTTCCATAGAAGTTTTGAAATGAAAATCATTGTCTAACTTCAGGGTAATTTTTCATATAGTTCTGTTTGTTTTGTTTTCTAAGTGGCTCTTCCTTTTTTCTCTCTTGAAATTTATGGTTCAATTCATTTACTTTTTCCTTTGAGGTTTGGGAAAAAAAATAAATAAATAAAAGAAAAAAAGGGCAAACAAACGTTGAAAAAAGAGAAAGGTTTTAAAATAGTGTGCAGAGGATAAATGCTGTCTTATCCTCTTACTGGTTTGCACATTTTTCCCAGGTCAAATGGCTTTATAAGCTTAACTGAAAGAATATGGGAATGTGACTACAGGCGGGGAGAATGTTCCAAATCCCACAGCAGAAAACGAAAGCTGGCATTCCCCTCGATGGTCTCTGCACATCCACATGCTTCAGATTTGCCGGGCTGATTTATTGTGCCAAGAAGCAGGATGGACAGAAGTTCGTTCCGCTCTTGGCAGAGGGACTGCCTAGCACCCAGCCACCCTCCAGTACAACCAGTTTGGGTATCTCCACCCCATGCTGGAGTCCCCAGAGCAGCTCTAAGAAACGCTTCCCCCCTTGCCCCGGTGATCTGTGGTGTCTCTAGGTCTTGGGGAGGAGATGGGGTTTAACTTCACACTTCTCCTCTCTTGTCATTTTACGTGTCCATGCCACAGAACATGATTTTGGGAAAACAGCCAGCGTTTCTCATTAGGTACCTGAACCTTTTTCTGCATGAAATCCCCGCCCATGGCTCTGTTCCCTGAGAAATTTGACTTTCCCTTATAGGTGGCAGCTCAGAAGACAGGAAAAAAGACGTGCTACCACTCCTTCTTCAAAAGAGGTAAGTGTTGCTCCCCCTCTTCTCTCAGTCCAAGTTGAAAGGTGCCAGGGAGGACAAAAACAGAGCTCAAATGCTCAGCAGCGTAACTGCAGAAATTTGTTTTGGTTCAGGTCAAAAGGCAGTTTAATGTAAAAATACCAAGTTCCTCCAAATAGAAGCGTGTTCAGACTGATTGCTTCAAGGGCTGACATCAGCATCACAACACAGCTGCAGAAAGCCCAAACAAAATCCCAGGGCTTGTCAGAAAACAAGAATTATGTCCACCTCGGAGCGAATACAAGATCTCTGCCGAAACGACAAAAATCATGATGGCCTCGACTCCAGCCACGTGTGCAGGAGGCTGAGAAGAGCCCCGGGGTCAGAAATTCCTGGTTTTCAGGAAAAAAATGGAAGATGCCGGTCCTATCATTTGAAGAGGTGACTGAGGGGGATTATATCGGGTAGTAACCCCCACCTACATCCAAGGCAACCACAATTCAGGCCTGACTTTTTAGGTTTATTGTGGGCAGAACAAGGAGTGATGTGACTAAACTGCCACGTGATATTTTGGGTAGGAAAAAGTAAAAAAAAAAACGCTGAATTTCTTTTTAAATTGCACTGAAGAGTCCACTACATCTTACAGAACAAGCAAACTTTGACACAGATGGGAAAACTTACTTTTTTTCTGTCGATAGTTAATTAAAGTCTGGCAGTCGTTGTCTCGAGATGCTGATGAAATCCAGCCCTGGACATAGCGCAAAGGAGACTGGATAGAAAACACGATTAACCAAAATTTGAGCAGAGTGTGAGCATGACCTACAAAACAAGAGGGGAGCAGAAAAGGGAGGCTAGGGAAGGTATGCTGCCTGCTGTCTTTGTTGCTAATCCATCATACGTGGACTCTAAACATGTCACAGGAGTCTAGAGGCGACAGATTTGATAAAATGCATGTATATAAATTCTGCTGAGGACACACGGTGTAAGAATTGCGTTGCAATTTTGCACACTCTATGAGAAAGAAAAGCCATTAAACACGGGAGAATACCAGGGAAACACTGAGGCACCAGGGAAGAGGTTGGAAACTGCAGCCCAGGGAACAGAAACGAAGACAGGAGGTGCCTGGCAGATGATATTCTATAATATTCTGAGGAATGCAATATCCCAAGAAATGTCCTCTCACATAAAGAGTTACACACGCAGCACAGCAATGAACTGGCTCAGATCGAGCACAGCCTGGGGAAAGCCTCACCACTAAAAGCTGATGCTCATCCCAAGAAGCTCTGCCGATGGCCACCGCTTGCTTCGTTCAGAGGTCTTTTTGGATCCACCCTCCACAAAACGTGTCCACTCTGAACCTGCTCCTCCTCCCGTGGATCCCAGGGCTGTGAAATTCACAAAAAAAATGTCTTCGTTCACTTTCTGAAGCGTGTCTTTCCAACAAACACAACTGCTCCATTATATACGTCTTAAAATATGAACACTGGGCTCTGTATCATCAGCTCGTTAACAAAATAACCTCCAATAAGTAGAGTAAATTGCGCTGACATTCACGTTTTATTTTTCAGGAGAGCCTGGCAGAGGCAGACAGAAGTCCTACGGATTAAGCCAGAGCAGGGCCTCTTTGCAGGACACAAGCCCCCGAAAGAAGGATGGAAACAGCCTCCAGAGGGCTCTGAAAGCAGCCCCACGTACCGCTGGCTTTGTGGGAACTGGCCGTGCTTCCCAAACCTGTCACGTTAGTTTTGGTTTTGTTCCGCTTTAAATAACATTACCTCCACTGAAATAAACAGTTTTCCTTCCGATTTCTGTTGATGGTCAATCCCTCATCTGCTAGGAGCTGGGCTCCAGGCATCTCAGAGGTTTCCAGCTCTGGTCCAGCCGTCTCTGGTCCTGACCTGGAGAAGGTGAGAGAGAAAACAACCATTTATTTGACCCCATAGGCATAAAAGAAGACAAAAAATGATGCATTTCTCTTTGAAATAATCACCCCTGGACACACAGCTGCCTTGCGTGGGTCTGCCTTGCAGTGGGCTGCGGCCATAGGGATGTCCACGAGGTCTCCTGAGTCCAAAAGCTGAAGGAGAACAAAGAAGGGGAAGCAATATCGTGCCTGCACCTCACCCACACGAGCGAGCCGACACAAACTGCTGGCAGCAATTCCTGTTCTGACTTTCAGTCTCCAAAAAGGCAATGGGAGATCTGACCAACTACAGTCCTGCATCCCGATGAGCTTCCCATAAAGGCAGCCCCACTGCAGGCTGGGTTCCTGAGCAAAGCATACAAGCACCTACAAACTCATCCTTTATATTTCCAGCCTTTTTTTTCTCCCAAATCCTTCAGATACTGTTCCTTTTTGAGGAAGGAGCCCTCGCTCCTAAACCCTGGTTTCAAAACCAGCCTGCAAATAGGCAGGTGGACCAAACTTCCCAATAATTCATCTACGCAAGGTTGCTAAAGGACTAGGAGGGGTGATGACTCTTGGTGTGCAGCCCATAGGAGCATGAAAGGATGCTGAGTACCTGCAGATGGAGGAGCAGCTCGCTTCAGCAGGTACCTCATCGTACCCCTCTGGCCATCACCTCTGCTGCGCCCCAGAAATCTGTGCATTTAGGAACTTCTTCACCAAATCATGGATGTTCTTAAGGTCCCTGGGGTACTAAAAAGGAAAAAAAAAAATCTTTAACTGTTGGATAAATACAAAAAAAAAAAAAAAAAGCATAAAAAAGTCAGGTTTTGCTTACTAGAAGATGTTGGAGCAAGTAAAACAACAGCAACCGTGTCATAAAAAAACACAAATAGGAGGTACCTATGGGTGGCTTCAGCCATAAATCAGCAACGGTGATTTATGAGGATGAGGATGAGGATTTGAGTTCAGAGAACAGAGCTGAAAGCAGCGCCTCCAGATTTCACAAAACCAAGGACTTGACTCCTCAGGAGGGGTTCGCTGAGCTTTTTTTTTTGTGGGGCTCAGCAGCCAGGCTCAGCTCCCAGCAGCGGAGTTTGGCCCTCGAGGTCAGCTGGCATCCTGCACGTGGATGACAGATTGCCAAGCTCCTTCCCCCCCCTGCACTCAAACTGTGATAAAAACGAGTATCTGCCCACAGATATCGCTTGTGCATGACAGTAGCAATTCTCAGGAAAGCCTTGTTTAACTGATGGGAGGATTTTTTCCACATATGCGTGTCGTTTTATGCATCGCCATCTGGGGCAATGCTCATGGCAGAGAATCCCACACGGTGCCTGCAGACTCAGGGCTCTCTCGAGCTCTGGAAGAGTTTTCCCAGAAATACCCAGACCTCAAGAGCTGCTCATTTGGCTTTGTTAGTGTTTCTTCCTGGCCATGAAAGCTGAAGATTTCACCCCGTGCTGTTCCACTTCGGAGGAAGGGCTGATCTGTGGATCTGCACAGCAGGCTCGAACTCCTCGGGTGGCACTGCCACCAAGGTCCTTGCTTCAGGCGTGCCAAAACTGGAACACAAGTGGGCAACACTTCATTAATACAAAAGGTGTTACCCTGCAGCATTGTTCCTTCACAATTCCTTCCAATTTAAGCAACTTTTGGGGTCCAGCAGCGGTCTGTGTGGACATGTGTGCAGTCCACATGGGGACAGATCCCTGTTTGTGTGGAAAAGCTACCAGGAATTAAGGCCAAATAATGTTCTGTGCCTCTTTTCAAGCTTCTGAGGGTGGCTTTTCTATAGGAATAGTAACTGGAAATAGTATTTTTATCCTTGTGAATAACTGCTGTGCACCATTCAGACTGAAGACAGCTTCGACATCCAGCAGGCAAATACCATCTCATCTCATTTCGAGAGTATGTCAGGTCTCACGCTCAGCATTTCCATTCCCGGGTCCTTTCACAGTTTTCTTCCCCAACCTACGTGTCTCCGAGGCTGCCCAAACCCTGCAACAGTGCTGAGTCTGTGGGCAGGGAGAAGCAGATAAAGCTGGTGTGTGCTCTGAGTCTCCTGCACTTTGCCAGGCTCTCACCTTTTTTTCCTTTCCCATTTCTCCTCCTCTCTGCTCTCACGTCCTGCTGGAATTTCACCGTGCGCCCACGTGGGCAGTTGTCCAGCTCAGGCTAAGCTCCTGTCCTGCAGCTAATAAATACAAATATAAATCAATAAACAAACAAACAAACAAACAAATAAATAAATATAAATGCAAATGAGAAGAACATTAACGGGACAAGGTGACTGCCACACCTCTTGCATTCTCAAGTGCAGCTGATATTATTACAGCTTTAACTGAAATTTAATCTAAACAGGTTCATATAAAAAAAAAATAAAAAAAAATCAGAGTACTCTTTCAGATTCTTCACAAGACGCTACATCAAATTTTTATTCTTGAATCATAGCATGTAGAAAGAATAGGTACGACAAGGTTCTTACCGAATTTGAGACTGTTTGGATATTTTACAAAAAATAATGTGAATGAAAAACCTTTTCCTCTGTACATGAGAATTCTTGCCACTCTTTCTCCAAAAAAAATATAACAAATACCAGTGTATCTCAAAGTGACAAAGTGGAGATGTCAGGAATGTAACCACAGGTGAGAATTGTTGATGGGATCCAGTCACTGCTTGCAGTGCCTTTTGGCCAAAGGCAGGGGTCTGGCTTTCGGTCCTTGTTTTCATGGCTTTTCTGCCTTTCTACCTGCTCTTGTTGCTTCTTTCTTGCTCAATTCTGTACTGACAGCCCTGAATTAGCCCTGAGCACAGAGTTCAGACGGCACATCTCACCCAGACTGAAGGGATCGTGTCACTCAGGGTGTCCTGCCACCTCTCCGAGGACAGAAAATCACCCAAATCATCCTTCTTCCTCTGACAACTGGTGCAGGACTGGCATTGACGGCGTGCTGAAAAGCGAGGGGAAAACAAATGGCAACAGAACATCAGATAATATAGGAGACACTGTACAGATTAAAAGGTTCACATTCGGATGGATTTGTGTAGAAGCAGTGTTTATCTGATTACTGCACAGCCACCTCCGAAGCCGTAGGCTGCCACCTTGCAGTGTTACAGAAAATAGGCACTGCTTGCCTCACGGCACCACTGCCAGCTAAACCCTGGCCAGAAGTCTGAAAAAGCACAATAATCTGTATACTCCAGCTTCAAATTATCACGAGTGATCCTGAAGCACCACTGCTACAGACAGCGAGCCCACAGCTGGAAGCAAGCTCCAAACCCCTGGCATCTGATCGGAACTTGTGCTTGAATAAATGAATTTATTTGGGGAGAAATCGACCATCTTCTGACACAGTCAGCTCACGGCGAGGCCGTCTCCATTCGGACAGCATCCTCTTGGCACGGGCACCAAAACCTGTGGTAACACGCAGCACTTCTGGCAGGAAAATAGCAAAGTACTTAACGGTGACTGACGTCTTTGTCAAAAACAAAAACAGCAACACCAGTAAGGAAGTGCTGGCTGGAAACCAGTGCATAACCCTCACATTACACACAGAGGAACTGGTGTAAAGGGCAGAGGTTACGCTGGGTTTGCAGCTCATAAGGACTTGGCAGGCTTCTGAATTTATCCCCACCTTCACCTAGAGGGTCCTGCACCTAGAGGGGAATAACCCCGAGCACCAGGACGGGCTGGGGGCAGCTCTGCAGAGAGGGACCTAGGAGTCCTGGTGGGCAGCAGGCTGACCACAAGTTGTTTTGGGCCAAGAAGGCCAACAATATCTTGGGCTGCATTCAGAAGTGTTGCCAGCAGGTCAAGGGAGGTGATCCTACCCCTCTACTCAGCCCTGGTGGGGAGTCTATGTCCAGTTTTGGGGTCCCCAGTACAAGAGGGACATGGAGCTACTGGATCGAGTCCAGAGGAGGGCTATGAAGATGATGAGAGGACTGGAGCACTTGATGTAGAAGGACAGGCTGAGAGAACTGGGCCTGCTTGGCAGTGGGGGTGAGCTAGATGATCTTCAGAGGTCCCTGCCAACCTCAGCCATTTGGGGATTCTGTGATACCGTGGTGTTTGTGAGAAGGACATATGGCCATGGGCACTGTAGTGTTTGTGAAGAGGACACATATAGCTGTGGATATTGAGGTGTTTGTGAGAAGGACGTGTAGCTGTGGGCACTGTGGTGGTTGTGAAGAGGGGACGTATAGCTGTGGGTACCCCGGTATTTGTGAAGGGACATAAAGCTGTGGATATTGAGGTGTTTGTGAATGGACATACATGTATAGCCGTGGGCACTGCAGTGTCTCTGAACAGGACATATAGCTGTGGGCACTGCGGTGTTTGTGAAGGGACACAGAGCTGTGGGTATTGTGTTTGTGAAGGCTGTGGGTATTGTGGTGTTTGTAAGAGGGGAATATTGAGGTGTTTGTGAAGGGACATATAGCCGTGGGCACTGCAGTGTCAGTGAAGAGGACATAGCTGTGGGCACTGGGGTGTTTGTGAAGGGACACATAGCTGTGGGTATTGTGTTTAAAAGAGGGGACAGACATATAACGTAGCTGTGGATATTGAGGTGTTTGTGAAGGGACATATAGCCATTGGCACTGCAGTGTCTATGAACAGGACGTACAGCTATGGGCACTGCGGTGTTTGTGAAGGGACACAGAGCTGTGGGCACTGTGGTGTTTGTAAGAGGGGAATATCGCAGTGTTTGTGAAGGGACAGATATTGGGGGCACTGCAGGAAGTGTCTTCACCATCTGTGAAGGAACACATGGCTGTGGGTACTGTGGTGTTTGTGAAGGGACACATAGCTGTGACTATTGTGTTTGTGAAGGCTGTGGGTATTGTGGTGTTTGTAAGAGGAGAATATTGATGTGTTTGTGAAGGGACATTAACAGTGGGCAGGGCAGTGTCTGTGAAGGGACATAGAGCTACGGGTACTGTGGTGTCTGTGAAGGGGAATATTGAGGTGTCTATGAAGGGACACATAGCTGGGGGCATTGTGGTGTTTCTAAGGGGGGAATATTGAGGTGTTTGTGAAGGGACACATAGCTGGGGGCACTGTGGTGTCTGTGAACAGGACATACAGTTGTGGGCATTGTGGCATTTGTAAGAGGGGAATACTGAGGTGTTTGTGAAGGGACACAAAGCAGCGGACATGGTTGTGTCTGTGAAGGGACACAGAGCTGTGAGCACTGAGGTGTCTGTGAAGAATATTGATGTGTTTGTGAGGGAATATTGAGGTGTTTGTGAAGGGACACATAGCTGGGGCATTGTGGTGTTTCTAAGGGGGAATATTGAGGTGTTTGTGAAGGGACACATAGCAGGGACATGGTGGGACATAAAGCTGTGGGTACTGCACTATCTGTGACCAGGACACGTAGCTGGGGACACTGCAGTGTCTGTGAAAACCCCCAAAACTCCAGATCCCGCCATGTTTGTGAGCAGCGTCCATTCCCCCCCACCCCATCCCCACCCCCGCCCCTCCCATCCCGGCCGGCGCCAACCGCCCGCGCCCGCCCCCGGGTGTGACGTCACTACCGCGCGACGGGGCTGTGACGTCACAGGGCCGCGACGGGCGGGCGTTGCTATGGAGGCGGCGGGGGTGGTGGTGAGGAGGAGAGGAGGAGAAGAAGGAGGAGAAGAAGAAGAAGATGATGAAGATGAAGAAGAAGACGAATGGCTGCTGAGCTCCCTGCGCCTGTGAGACGGGCCCTGGGCCTTCAGCCTCCTCCCCCCAGCCTCTCCCTGCCCCCTCAGGCCTCTCCCCCTCCCCGGCCTACCCCCACCCCCTAGGCCTCAGCCTCCCCCCCCCCCCCCCTCAGCAGCCCCCTGTCCCCGCAGGTACGAGGATCTCCACACCTTCGAGCTCCAGGCTCCCACCCGCGTCATCGAATGGGCCCTGGGGAACCGTGAGTGTTTGGGGGAGGGGCTGGGGGGCGGGCAGGGGGCCTGAGGGATGGGCAGGGGTCCTGAGGGGCTGGGTAGGGGTTCTGGGGGGCCAGGCAGGGGTTCTGGGGGTTGAGGGAGGCCTGGCCAGGCTGTGCTGGGGTCCTGAGGGGAGCATGGGGGCTGTATCACCAGGCTGGGGGCTGGGGAAGTGGGAGAGGGGCTGCACTGGGGTCCTGGGGGGAGAAAAGGGGGAGACAAGGGCTGGGGGCGTACCGGGGTTCGTCCTGGGGCCGTGCTGCAATGCGGGGGCCTGGCCCAAGGTGGGTGTGGTGAGGGGATCGCTCACTGTGGCCCTGGTTCCTCACCCCACAGGTGTCTGTGTGGCGGGTACGGGGGCTCCGACAGGAACGAGATCCTGCAGCTGCTGCCCCCGCCGACGCTGCAGGCGAAGGAGACCCAGGTGGGTGCTGCGGCTGGGGTGGCATCCCAAACCCAGCGTGTTTTGGCCAGCTCTGGAGCAGTTTCTGACCAGAAGCTGAAGCGCGTTGACCACCCGGCTGCTGTCCAGCTCGGTGGCAGTCTGGTTGTGAAATCCTGCTGCCCTGCGGACAGCGTGTGCCATGGAAGCTCCATCTCCAGATGTGTGAATGAAAGCTTTTCCTGGAGAAAGGGGAGAGGTGAGGAGACAAAGAAAACAAAGAAGGGACGGGCTGAGATGCCTGAGCCTGGGGAACCGTGCTGCTGAACAGCGATATTGCCCCGTGATTAGGTGGTGTCTGAGCTAAAGGAAGAGGTGGTGTTTGGGCAGGCACGCACAGCCAGCAGCAAACCCAGGCAGAGTGCTTGGCTCAAGCTTTATCTGTATTTTTCCCCCTATCATCAAGGATCCTTCAGCTTTTATATCTGTATTTTTTCCCCTATCATCAAGGATCCCTCAGCTTTGTAGCTCCTGTTGGAAGAAGCGTTTAGTGGGCAGGCAAGAGCTCTACCATGCCAGAATGTTTCCCTCTTCTTTTTTGTGTTAATTGTGTAAGGGGTTTTGCTGCATTAACTTGAAGAAAAGGATTTTTCCTTTGATTTCCAGGGCCTGTGTCCAGAGAGAGACTTCAAGGTGGAATGCGGTGGGTTTTCCAGCCGCCCGGTGTACGGCCTGAAGCACGTGCCAGACACCAGGTATGGCCACGGGGTCCTAGCAGAGAGAAAAAAAAAGTGGAGGAGAGGAGCCTGGTGACTTTTGCCAAGAGGAATATTGGCGAATGTTTGCCCTCTTTATTCCTGGGTGCTTTTAGAGCACTCCCCTGTAGCAGGGAAGCTGAAGCTGT